ATGGTGCTGGCTGGGGAAGGAGCGGAGGCCCCATTATCAGCAGGCTTGCCTGGTTTCTTTCGAATGTGAACACCTATGCGCTGAAGAGGGGGGTGTGAGTTAGATTGTACAAATGTGCTTGGGTGACTGTGAGCAAATACGTGAGCAAGCAAGGGGGAATGAAAAAGAAGACAAGGGTTACCATGTGAAAAAGAGTGTGTGCATGAGGAGAGAAGAAAAATACATGTGTGCGTGTGCACGGAGTGGAGGAGGACACAGCCAGTGCTGCTGCAGTACCTGCGAACGTTGTGCAACTGAAGCCTGGGCACAGGGCACAGAATGGAGGGAAGGAGTGGGCCTGCCTCTGTGTGTGTGTATGAGAAGGGGCATGGTTGTGGGAGAGCAAGAGATCTCAAGAGGGAAGGAGGGAGCGAGCAGGTCTGTCCATTTCTAAAAGCATGTCTAGTGCAAAGGGGTGCAGGATGGAGCCACGGAGCTAAGAAAGCCTTCAAGTTAAATTCACAAGAGGAAGAAGACTGGCAGGTGCATGAGCTTGAGGGTGGGCGTGTGCCTCCACAGGGCCCGTGCTTGGGTGACTGTGTGTGGGTATGAGCACATGAGCTGCGACAAGTGAGAACATGTATGAGTGCGTGAGCACATGAGTGGAGTGCCCCAGGGCTGTGAACAAGCATACCTGCCCCTGGGCAGCTGTGGGCTGTCAGGTGCTGGAGGTGCCTGAGGATGTTTTCATCCAGATATTCCAATGAGGGAGGACTGTGTGTCCTGCGTGGCAATGGCTCAGGTCCAGGTGACTGTGGCTGGGAGCGCTGGCCATGTTGCCCCAGTCTGGCAGTGTGGTGCAAGTAGGAGAGTGAGTCGCCAGGCACGGCTGGCTCGCACTCTGCCTCGCCTCTGGTCGTGTCCAGCAGGGAGGACAGCTGGGAGGAGGAGAGATCACTCAAGGGCTGTAGTTTTATTTATTTATTTATTTATTTTTTTTTTTATCCTCACCCGAGGATATTTTTCCATTTTTTGTACAGATAGAGTGGGAGGGAGAGAGAGAGAGAAACATCGATGTGAAGGGACACATCGAGTGGCTGCCACCCACACGACCAACCAGGGCCGGGGACAAACTGCAACCGAAGTACGTGCCCTTAGCGGGAACCGAACCCGGGTCTCTCCGGACCGCAGGCCAATGCTCTAACCGCTGAGCCAAACTGGCCAGGGCAAGGGCTGTAGTTTTATACCATCGTTATGCAACTGCTTGCAATGCCCAGGGGCTCATTCTAAAGGGCCAGCACCCTGCTTCTCTTGGTCTTTATACCGCCATCTCCCTTTATGTCCATGTTGCAGTTCAGGTCAGTGGTTTCGGCTGACAAACATTTGTGGAAATCTGCTATTTACCAGGTTCCAGAACCAACCTCCAGTCCTTCCCACCCCCAGCTTCTTGGCCTTAGTTTTCTCATAGCACTTATCACTACCTACCACACTAGATATTTTACTTATTGTATTTGTCTGTCTTTCCCTTTCCTAGCAAATGCCTGTGCAGCACTTGCTGGCACCAAACACTACTGTAGTTTCTCTATTAATTTTAGTCCTCCAACAACTCTACATGACAATGAATGTTATTCTTGCCATTCTGTAAACGGGATGCACACAAAGGTTAAGTAGCTTGCCCATGATCATACCATGGTAAGTGGTAGAGCCAAGCCTGGCCAAGGGTCCCTGATGATAACCAGTACCCAATACTGTTCTGTGAGGGTGGAAGTTTTCTCAGCGTGGTACATTGCTGAATCTTCGGTGCTCACAAGAGTGCTCAGCACATGTAGGTCAATGAATATCCAGTGAATGAATGAAGAAATGAGAGGATGAATGTTAGACATGGAGGATGAAATAGAGACGCACTTGCCTTCAAGGAGCTCATGGTCCCATAGAAGACAAAAGTTACTTCAATATTATATCAAGATGGTATCATGAGGTCTTGAGGGACACACAACTTGCCTGGCCTCTGGAAGGCAGGGTTTTCCAGAGGAAGGACAGAGAAGGGGACATGCACAGTGACATTGCCCACCTCCTTCAAAATCCTCCCTGGGGACAGAGACCCCTTAGCTCTTCCTACCTCAACCTACAGGATTCCAGAAGATGATGGTGGCTCCATGGGGACCATGGACGCACAATGGGGTACTAGTCAGGAGCATGAGCTCGGAAGAGACGGCCTTGAGTGAATTCTCACTTTTCCAAACACTAGCTAAGTGACCTGGACAGATTCCCTAACCTCCCTGGGCCTTGGTTCTCTCATCTATAAGAGGGTTAGCAAACAATGCTGACTCCCTAGGTTAGTGGAGGGGATTACATGACACACACATGTAAAAGCATTTGAAACAGTGCACATGGCTTAAGAAAGGCAATGTGCCAGCTCCAATGGAGATAACCAATGCTCCTCTTCCATTCTGCACTGGTTGCTGGCTTTCAGGGAGGAATGGGAGGGAAGGGTTGAATTAAACATGCTATTAGTATAGCCTCTCTGCTGTGGCTTCATCCCATTTTCCAGAAGCAACTCAAAGCAGGGCAGGGACTATGTCTGCTTTATTCACACTATTATCCCTTGCACCTATTATAATACTTGACACATAGTAGGTGCTCAATACATGTTTACTGAATAAGTGCTTGTGTGATTATGTTTATTTAATCTTTGTGAAGATAAATATTCATTTTATTGTTTCCACTTATAAGTGAGGTAGTAGAGGTCCAGCAAGGTTAACCAACTTGTCCATTAACACACAGCCTGTAAATAGAACAGGCAGACTCAATGGCCAAACCCCATGCTCCTTCCTCCTCACCATGCTACTCTCTAGACAAATATACGTCACATCCTATTTTCCAAGGATTTTTTTTTTTTTCTAGCCAGTGGTGCCAGCCATGGTTGTAGAATCATCTCCGAATTCTATGACTCATAGCTGAATCACAGAACTGCTTAGTAGTTGAAAGGGACTTTTGATGTCATCTTGACCTCCCACCCATTGTGGAAATTTCCTCTCCAATGACTATCCAGAAAATACTTGAATGCCTCCAATGATGGAACACTCATTTTCTTCCTCTTGAATTATCAAGTTCTATGACTGGACCACTTTTCAAGTCAGAAGGAAGGTTCTGCATCTCATGGGCCAACAAGCCTCTCTCTAGTTTCTAGGTATTGGGTTTATTCCATCTTCCTATGATAGACACAAAATAAATCGGCTGCCCTCATCGCAAAACACTTTCAGAGAGTCGCAGACAGCTCTCATATCCCTTTGAAGAATTCTTTTCTTTTCTTTTTTTCTTTTTTTTTATCCTCACCCGAGGACATTTTTCCATTTTTTGTTCAGACAGAGCGGGAGGGAGAGAGAGGAAGAGAGAGAGAGAAGAGAAACATTGATGTGAAGGGACACATCGAGTGGCTGCCACCCGCACGACCAACCAGGGCCGGGGACAAACTGCAACCGAGGTACGTGCCCTTAGCGGGAACCGAACCCGGGTCTCTCGGGACCGCAGGCCGATGCTCCAACCACTGAGCCAAACCGGCCAGGGCCAGAATTCTTTTCTTCAAGCTAGTTGTTTTGAGTCCCCACAGCAACTGTGGAGTGGCTCATGTCCTAGACCATCTCAACAGCAGTCCGAAGTGTTTTGAGCAATGACACCCCCTACCGGATAAAATGTGAATTGCACCATGGGGCTCAATGCTCAACTCAGGAGCTTCAACTGTAGCTGGGGCACTGGCTGGCTCATGGTGTGAATAAAATAAATGCTTGTTTTATTGTTTTAATCCTCACCCAAGGATATGTTTTATTGCTTTTTAGAGAGAGAGGAAGGGACAGAGAGAGAGAGAGAGAGAGAGAGAGAGAGAGAGTGAGAGAGAGAGAAACATCGATGTGAGAGGAGCATTGATTGGTTGCCTTCCCTTCGCACTCCTACTGGGGATGGAATCCACAACCTAGGTATGTGCCCTGACCAGGAATGAAACCGGAAGCCTTTCGGTGTGTGGGACGATGCTCCAACCATCCGGTCAGGACAGTAACTGCTTATTTTAAAGAGTCATTGCTTTAGAGGCATACCTAGTTGTTTTAAATGTCTATCTTAAAGAGTGTCACTGAAGACTCCACTCCAAGGTTCCTTGCCAATTGTGAGGTTTCTGATAAGCTACACATTTGGGACTTCAATCTTAGAATTCAAATGGCTGCTTTTTAACTTTTAAACAAAAAGGTACGGAAAGAGAGATAGGAAGATGTATGCTGTATATAGGGTTATGGTAATTTTTCTTTTCTTTTTTTCTCCCCTGTCCTTATTTTCTAGTAGTTCTACAATGGATATTTGTTATAAGAAGAAAAAACACCAATAAAAATAAAAAAAAAGAAAATAAAAACACTGAAGTCTTCCTCCACCTTCTTTCTCTTTATTCCTTCCGTGGCTGTTTGTCACGACTTGAGTATTTAGTCTACAACTGGGATGCCTGTCTCCATGGGCAGGAGTGCCACGGTAACATCTCTGTGGTGACATGGCCCATGGTTCAGACAGCCAGGCTCTTCTCAAGCGTGGTCAACCAGACTCAAGCAGCACAATTTTACATTCACAACAGGCTTCTCAACAGGACTGTCGGGTAGTTTCTCCACATTATCCACCCACCTTGGGTTCATGCCACAGTCAGGCTGCGTTTCCTAATCTTATCTCTGCATACTACTGGTCGGTGGTCATGTCCTGATCAGCCTTGGACTCCCCAGCTCTTCACCCTTCTCTCCACTCTCCCAGCACACCCTCAGCTACCCCATGGGAGCCAGAGCAGCTCCAAAAGGTAACAGGTCAGAAAGGCATCAGGGATTAGAAAAGCCAATCCCCAGCTAAATGAAGATCTGTGGACCAGCTGAGTCACTCCTCTCAAGCAAGTTCGCAGCTAACCAGGTTTCATTCCAGCCCCAGGGTCATCTGGGGCTCTCGCCTCCATCTGGAACGCTGGGGGAGGGGGGCACTCAGGTGCTGGGAAGACTCACCCGGCAGCCTCTCACTGCAGCACATGTCCAGGGCCCCTCCCTCGGAGTCATCAGCGGCGTGGTTGTCTCTCTCCCTCCTGTGGCAGGATGAAAAACGGGAGATGATGCTGTTGAGCTGGGATCAAGACAAAACCCTTAGCAAGATAAAAAGCCTTCTTTTCTTGCGCGGTGTCCCTTTGAATAACCCCAACCCACCCCATCAGGGGGATTTTAGAAAAAGACCAACCCACAGAGGGGTCAGGCTGCAGAGACCAGAGGGTTCTGCTGGTATCTTCCATGTGAAATCAATAACAGCAGCATTACTATGATCATCATCATCATCATCATCATCATCATCTCTACCATTCAAGGAGGGCTTATCATGTGCAAAGCACTTTACAGATTTTATCACACTGAGTCTTCATTGTGACACCATGAATTAGGAATCATTAAAGAGGCTCAGGGAAGTTAAAATAACTTGTCCAAGGTCACAACGCTCATTAGGGTGGAGCTGGGTACAAAATTACAGTCTAGGAGTCCAGGCTCATGCCCACCGCTGTAGTGTTCTGCTTCTTAGTTCCTGTGGGTTTAGGAGTTGAAAGCATGGGTGAGCTAGTAGAGGGGTCTGGGTAACACAGTCTGTGCCCAGCTCCCCAAGGACTGCAAGTGCCCTGTGCCCTCAGGCAGTGGACAGTGGCATGCAAAACTCTTCTCCAGAAATAGCTAGAAATAGCTATATGTAGCCCTGGCCGGTTTGGCTCAGCCGAAATAGCTATATGTATTTTTTGCATATTCTAAATGTTCGATTTCTTTTTGAAATCACAAAACCGTCTTCCTAGACCACCAGGGCACCTTCCAGGACTACACTGGGATCTAGCTTTGCTCTTTTACCCAGTAAACTTGAAAAAGGTTGCTGTGGGTCAGGCAGGCCTGTTGAAGTGTCTGTAGATTGACATTCTCTGAGGGCAACTGTGCAGCTCACAGGGGCTCCAGACTCTGTGAGTGGCCTGTAATGCAGGTGTGGGCTCCGATGGCCCAGCCTGTCCTTCATGTCTCTGACCCCTGGCAGTAGATGGCTGATCCAGGGCTGGACACACCAACCAGGCTGGGTCAATCAGATGGTCTTGCCTGTGCCTTTTTTTTTTTTTTTAAATCCTCACCTGAGGACATTTTTGCGTTGATCTTCAGACAGAGCAAGAGAGAGACAGGGAGGGATAGAGATAGAAATATCAATGCTAGAGAGACACATCGAGTGGTCGCCACCCACATGACCTCAGCCAGGGCTGGGGCCAAAATGCAACTCAGGTACGTGCCCTTAGCGGGAACCAAACCCCGGTCTCTTGGGTCCGTGGGCCGATGCTCTAACCACTGAGCTAAGCGCCCAGGGCTTGGCTGTGCTTTTCAAATGCACTCTGGAGGGCCTGGAGCCTGCGGTTGTTGGGGCTGAATCACGGTGGCCGCAGTGCCCTGGAGGAAAGGTCCAAAACATCTGCTTCAAGGACATCGGGGCTGCTGCCCCACTGTCCATTCTGTCTCGACTGGGCTACATGGCCATCAAGGCCACGAAATGCCCCAGAATCCTTTCAATAAATTCCAACATTTTAGCTTAAGCTAGTAGGGTTTGATTTTTGAGACGGGCAACCAAAAGGAACTTTAATATAACCCCACTAGCATACTGCTTTCAAGAAGTCCAAGAGGTCAGCCGCCTCTCCGCCCTCCAGTCCGCAATCCTGCCTCTCGGACTGGTCCTGAAGCTGATTTCAGGCTGGGCTACAAATCTGAAATAATTAAGGGCGGACAGGCTGGGTGGAGGCGCTTGCAACTGGTGTTGCATTATTTTATTTTTTCCTCACCGCAACTGGCACAGTCTCTGAGAATCCCAAATCTCAGAGCTGAGCTCCCCTGCAGAGAGGGCCCTTTAAATGTCTTCTGAGTCCTTCTACTTTTCTCCCTCTCCACCACCTCCATCTTGGTCCAAGCCCAGCACCTCCTGCCTAGATTTTTACTTTTTAAATCCTTACCCAAGGACATGTTTTTTAAAAAACTTATTTTAGAGAGAGAGGGAGAGGAGAGGAGAGGAGAGGAGGGGAGAGGAGAGGAGAGGAGAGGAGAGGAGAGGAGAGGAGAGGAGAGGAGAGGAGAGGAGAGGAGAGGAGGGGAAGAGAGGGAGAGGGAGAAAGAAAGGGGGAGGGGGGAGAAGGAGAGGGGGAGGGGAGGGAGAGGGAGAGGGGAGAGGGGGAGGGGGAGAGAGGTGAGAAAGTAACATCAATTGGCTGCCTCTCATATGTACCCTGACTGGGGATAAAACCCACAACCTGGGTATGTGCCCAGATTGGTAATGGAACTCGCCATTCTTCGGTGCACAGGATGATGCTCCAACCAACGAAGCCACACTGGTCAAGGCACAAGGCAGTCTTTTTAAAATTTAATATTGATTTCAGACAGGGAGGAAGGGAAGAGGGGAGAGAGAGAGAGAGAGAGAGAGCGAGGAAGAGAGCTGGAGAAAGGAGGAGAGAGAAAAAGCGATGTGAGAGAGATACATCGATCAGTTGTCTCCGGTATGCACCCTGGCTAGGGATTAAACCCGTAACCTAGGTATGTGCCCTGATCTGGATTCAAACCTACGACTCTTATGTGGGTGGGACATCACTCCAACTGAGACACACTGGCTGGGGCCTGAGGCAGTCTTTTTATTTTATTTTTTTCCTTTTATTGATTTTAGAGAGTAAGGGAGAGGGAGAGGGAGATTGATACATCAATGAGAGAGAACATGGATTGGCCGCCTCCTGCATGCCCCTCACTTGGGTTTAGGCCCACAACCTGGGCATGTGCCCTGACCGGGAATCAAACCGGTGACCTCTTGGTGCATGGGTTGATGCTCAACTACTGAGCCACACCAGCTAGGCAGTCTTTTTTATCCTTACCCTAGGACACTTTTGCATTTATCTTCAGACAGAGCAGGAGGGAGAGAGTGAAGAAGAGAGAAGACAGAAACATGGATGAGAGAGAGACACATTGAGTGGTCGCCACCCACACAGCCCCAGCCAGGACCAGGGTCAAACTACACCCGAGGTACGTGCCCTTAGTGGGAACTGAACCCGGGACTCTCTGGTCCGTGTGCCAATGTTCTAACCCAGCAATTCTCAACCTGTGGGTCACGATCCCTTTGGGGGTTAAACAACCCTCTCACAGGGGTTGCCTAAGACCATCGGAAAACACGTATTTCCAATGGCGATTCGTAACAGTAGCAAAATTACAGTTATGAAGTAGCAAGGAAAATAATTTTATGGTTGGCTCAGTGGTTGAGCATCGACCCATGCACCAACATGAGAAACGTGAGAAACTGTACTAAAGGGTCGCGGCGTTAGGAAGGTTGGGAACCACTGAACTGCTGAGCCAAAGCGGCCAGGGCCTGAGGCAGTCTTTTGACTGGTCTCCAGCATCCACTCAGTCTGGCCTCCAAAACATTTCCCAGATGCTCCAATACATACATCTGGCTGCACAGGTTGTACAGTTCACAACTGCCAAAGTCAACATGTATCCTAGCACCTTCCTTGAAAATCGACTTGAATGACATCATTCTGCACTTGGAACAAAGATAAACATCCTTGAACAAAGTGTACTTGATCTTGCATGGTCTGACCCTTGTTCATCCCCCCAACCTTATTTCATGCCCCTTTGCCCTTGATCTCTGTCCTCTGCTCAGACTCTCTTATTCATGATGAGTTCGTACATGAATCTCTCTTTTCTTTCTACCTAGGAAGCTCCCAATCTCTACTTCTCAGTACTTTTTACTCACAGCACTTGGCGCAACTTGAAATTTCATTTTGACTTATGCTATTCTCTCTCCACCATTAGACCATCAGTTACATGAGGGTGGGGCCACCACTTGTTTTATTTTCAGAGTCTCGCCCAGCGGCTGGCTCACAGCAGGTGTTCACTAAATAAATCCTTGTTGAATCAATAAGCTTTGCCCTGACCATTTTGAAACAAACATCAGGCACCTCAAACATGATCATCATCTGAGCTGCCTGGGGGCACCCTCCCCCAGAGCTGATGTCAAGAGCAGTCACAGAATCACACATCTGGAGAGGAGAAATCACACTTTGCAGAGGAGAAAACTGAGGCACAAAATGGGGGTCTGACTTGCCCCAGGTCATAGATCGTGGCCACAGAAATTGGGATCAAAAACACCTATCCCTAACCTCCCAATCTTGAGAAAGAGCCTTAAAAAAATTTTTTTTCTTTATTGATTTTAGAGAGAGGAAGAGAGAGATGGAAACATCAATGAGTGAGAACATCAACTGGCCGCCTCCTGCATGCCCCCCACTGGGAATTTGGCCCACAACCAGGGCATGTGCCCTGACCAGGAATCGAACTGGCAACCTCCTGGTGCATGGGTCTATGCTTAACCATTGAGCTACACCGGCCAGGCAGAAAGAGCCTTTTCTTTATCCTGAAGAGCACCCTGGCCTGAGGACAGTCAATGAGGCTGGCCCCTGGCTGGGTACAGAAAGGTAACCAAGGTATCCAGATATCTCTGGAAGGGCCCCAGGGGTGACTCACAGATGCTTTTACACCTTAAGCCTCCCTGGCCCCAAGCCGTGTTCAGAATAGCCTGGTGCTGCATGCGTGCAGAAGACTCTATAAATAAGCTTCCTAGAAAATGACTAATTTCATAATCGGAAAAGCAGAAAGAGTAGCACCTTTTGTAGAGGAAAATGAAACAAGAACCTGCTGCTTCATCCTGCAGTCAAAGGACTCCAGGTATCGTCGGCTCGAGCCCACATGTCTAGGCTGCTCAGGGGAGGGTTTTAATTAGACTCCCGAAGAGAGGAGAAGGTTCATTCAGGCCACACAGAGAAGCCCAGTCTCTGAGCACTGCCTTGCTCCTGGCCGAGAGCAGTGGACTCCTGCAGGCCCCTTCTCTCCTTCTCCACTTCCATCAGCGGGCAAAGGGGCAGAAACTGTGACAACAGGCAGCAACTTGCTGGAGTCGCCCCCCACTGTTGCTCTTCGAGCCAGAAAACCCTGGAGGTGAAGGGACATCACCGAGGCATGTCCCTCCCTCAGTGACGGAGAATGTCTGGGAGGAAGGAGAACTTTCCCACGGCCTTCGTCTCAATCAACAAGCATCTGAGCACCTCCTATGAGAGAGACATCAGAGCTGTCTCAGGGACACAGCGACGAACAAGCCAGGCCCCTCCCTCCACAGTGCCCAGTCCTCCTCCAGGGACACGTGCAAATATGAGGTACCCATGCCTGCTTTGACACGTGCATGTGACACCTTGGGAAGGGCTCAGCACGTGGTGAGGGGCCTGGGGCAGGAGGACGTCCTCTCCAAGGGGAAGATGGGA